ATGGCTCAAAGACCTCAATGTAAAGCCTGAAACTCTGAAACTATTAGAAGAAAACATTGGGAAAAACCTACAAGATATTAGGAAAGGAAAGGATTTTCTAAAGCAGACATCAATTGCTCAGGAAACAAGGGCAAGAATTAACAAATGGAACGTCATTAAACTAAAAACCTTCTGTACATCAAAGGAGGCAACCAGGGAAGTGAACAGAAAATTCATACACTGGGAGAAAATCTGCAACAGCGACACATCCAACAGAGGTTTAATATCCAGAATATATAATGAACTCAGAAAACAGAGAATCAAGACAAGAAATAACCCAATTAAAAGATGGGCTAAGGAGCTGAACAGAGAGTTCTCAAAAGAAGAAGTAAAGATGGCTATGAAGCATTTTAAAAGATGTTCAACATCACTAATAATCAGGGAAATGCAAATTAAAACCACTTTAAGATTTCACCTTACCCCAGTCAGACTGGCTAAGATCAAGAGAACAAATGATACCAAATGTTGGAGAGGATGTGGGGAAAGGGGAACACTCATCCACTGCTGGTGGGGCTGCAAACTGGTTCAACCCCTATGGAAAGCAGTGTGGAGAACTCTTAAAAAACTACAAATGAACCTACCATTTGACCCAGCTATACCCCTCCTAGGCATATACCCAAAGAACTCATCCTATCGCAAAGACACTTGTACATCCATGTTTGTTGTTGCTCTTTTCACAATACCTAAGAGATGGAAGTAACCTAAATGTCCCTCAATTGACGAGCAGATAATGAAAATGTGGTTCATTTATACAATGGAGTTTTACTCAACAGTAAAGAAAGATGAAATCATGAAATTTGCAGGTAAATGGATGGAACTAGAAACTGTTATACTAAGTGAAGTAACACAATCTCAGAAAAAAAATCGACATATGTTCTCCCTCATATATGGCTCCTAGAACCAAACCCTGATAAGTGAGTATGTATCCAGACATAACTACAGGACCAGGATAATGGAAAGGAAGCAGGGACGTATAGGAAAAGAAAGACCCCAAAAGAGAAGAACAGTAGGAAACAGGCCTTAATAAGGGAGATACAAATAAAAATTGGGTTAGTTTCAGGGAGGGGAGATGGAAGGTTATTCAAGGAACCTAAGGGATAAAGGGAAAGAAGGAGCTCAAGAGAGGTAGGACAATAGGAGAAGGGTATTATTAAGGGAGAAAGGGGGAAATGGGGGCACCTTAAGTGGGAAATCCATGATGTAGGGGTGAGACAATGCAAAAGATAAACAATGCCTAGCTAGTTTTAAAAACCAGAGGGAACCATATTACTCCTACAACCTACTGACAAATTATACATAGCAGATCAA